TTCGGGGCACTGGTAGGGTTTTTCGCCCAAGTGGGGGCGTTGGTGGGTGATGAGGTTGGAGGAGACGCTGAAACATTTGCCGCACTCGCCACAACGGTAGGGTTTTTCCCCGGTGTGCATCCGGCGATGGATGGTGAGGTCCGACTTCTGGATGAAACCCTTCCCGCAATCCCCGCAGGCGTAGGGTTTTTCGCCGGTGTGGATACGCCGGGGGTTAACCAACGCCGATCTTTGTATTTGCCCGAAACCCTTCCCGCACTCCCCGCACTTATAGGGTTTCTCCGGCGGTGCCGTCGCCGGCGTTTCGCCGCCGCCGGTATCCGATTCCCTCCCGCAATCCATACATTGTTGAGCGCGAGGACGTAACCCAACCGCGCCGCCCCGGGTTCTTCCCCAATCCGGACACTTAGGGGACTGCCCCGTGTTTCCCCCGCTACCGTGAGCGCGTTGATGTTTGAGTAACGCGGCACCTTGACCGAAACATCGCCCGCATTGAGCGCATTGGAAGAGGCGACCGTGCCGGTGTGCGGCCAAGAAGCCGGCAAGATGTTCGGGGCAACGGTAAGACGCCCGTTCGGCCGCGTGGATCTTCTGGTGCCGGTCGAGGTGGGAACTGACGCTGAAGCTCTTCCCGCATTCGGCGCAGGTATACGGTCGTTCACCGGTGTGGACGCGTTGATGCCGTTCCAGGTCGGAGCGTTGGATGAAACCTTTGCCGCAATCGCCGCAAGCGAAGGGCCGTTCGCCGGTGTGGATGCGCCGGTGTTGGGTGAGGTTGGACCCCCGGCTGAAGCTCTTCCCGCAATCGCCGCAACGGTGAGGCCGTTCGCCGCTGTGGGTCTTCCGGTGTTTGGCCAAAGCGGAGCGTTGAGCGAAACTCTTCCCGCATTCGGGGCAACGGTGAGGAGGCGCCGAGCTTTCCGGCGGAGGCGGGCGAGGACGGGCGCGGGTTTGGGAGGGCGGACCGGGTCCGCCGGCATGGGTGCGACGATGGCAGTCGAGGTGGGAGCTG